GGTTTCTCTCCAGTGTAGATCATTTGATGATTACGGAGGTTTCCACCATTAATAAAGCTCTTTCCGCATTCCAGGCATTCATACGGTTTTTCTCCCAAATGGATTCTTTGATGTCTATAAAGGCTGCTCCTCCGACTGAAGCCCTTTCTGCACTCTGGGCATTTAAATGGTTTTTCTCCTGTGTGAATCATTTGATGTCTACGAAGATGTCCACCATTAGTAAAGCTCTTTCCACACTCCAGGCATTCATAAGGTTTTTCTCCTGTGTGGATCCTTTGATGTCTATAAAGGCTTCCACTCCGACTGAAGCTCTTTCCACACTCAAAGCATTTATGTGCTTTTTCTCCTGTGTGGATCCTTTGATGTGCATAAAGGCTGCTACTCTGACTAAAGCTCTTTCCACACTCCAGGCATTTATGTGGTTTTTCTCCTGTGTGGATCCTTTGATGGATTTTAAGTTCTGTATTTGTTTTGAAGGATTTTCCACATTCCGGGCACTGATATTTCTCTCCTCCCTCCTGGATTCTGTGGCGTTTCCTGAGTCTTCCGCCTCTTCTGAAGGACCCTCCGCCCTCCAGGCCCGTCTCGGGGTCTCCGCCCGTTTCCTGCTCCCCGCTTCTCCCTCCAGGCGGCCTCCTTTCCCGGAGCCCCCTTCGGCTCATCCCTGCCGGGCCTCCCCCGCCGTCTCCTCCCGGGGCTGCTCCGCGGGGCCTCCTCTCCTCTCGGGCGGCGCCTCCTTCCTTCCTTCCTTCCTCCGCCGGGCTCGCCCGTCCTCCTGCAGGGGCGAAGGGGGAGGAGGAGAGGCGGTCACGGCTTCGTCCCTTCCCCGGAGGGGAGTCCCAGGCCCGCCCGGGGAGGAAGGCCGAAGCCTCGGCCTCTCAGTGAGACTTTCCGGGCAGGCCTCCCTCCCAGCGCCCGTCCCGCCAGACCAGGCCTCGCCTCCCCCCTCCCTCCGCCAGAGAGCCTCTCGGACTGCGACTCCCAGCATCCCTTGCGCCCTACCTGGATCCGAGCCCGCCCGTGGATGAATCAATTAGGGCGCTTCAGTTCTATTTGTTCCCGGAAGTGGAGGCGGGACTTCCCT